TTAATTCTTTGCCCTGCCATGAGCATAAATGAATAACTAAACACAGGAAGAATGTTTGGTTTCAGAAATCAGCTTACATATAGCTTTCTCATGAACAAATATGTCAAAACAGTGTAGTGTTGATTTGGGGGACTTAAATGGATAAAAATAGCTGTCAGGCCTTGAAAATCAAGAAGGCCTTTAAAGTCACACTAATACCATACAACAGAGCATGAGGTCTCCAATGTACATGTCAGTTGCTTCTTTTGTCCCCAGACATTAAATATGTAAGAATAAAGTACCTGTACCAAGGACACCTGCAATCTTTATGTTGGTAGGTAACTTACTAAATTTATTAGCTAGTAGCACTTGGAACTTACACATTGCATTCTGAAAATTACTGCATACCATGCAAAAATCTGATATAAACATTACGCAGCTGGTTTCTACTTGTAGACCAGATACAGAAAACTGCACAAGCAACTAAAAAGCATGCCAAATTGGCAGTAAATTCAGTGTTTATGCTTTGAGTGGAAACTGGCATGTCTCCATGCCCTATCATAAGACTGTCCAGCTTTCTCAAACCCATGGGTAAGATACTGTTTTAGGAACACCCTTATAACTGCTCTTCAAAGATGCATAAAGTGCCAAATGATGCATCTGGAAGTCTATATACAGTACAGCATTTGGGAATTTTACAGGCTGGATGAAACTGCTTGCAGTTGGATAGCTCCTAGTTGTACACCTTTACTCTAGTGTCTTTCTACACTGCAATATTTATATATGTGCATATTTAGATTAAATACAGCTTTTCTGCGTGTGTTTTGTTTCAGTTTTGGCCTTAACAGTAATATCCAGTCCATAAAAGTCAGTTAATTTAAAAAATTCATGTATTTATGACTGAACTTCATTATCAGTTTTCCAGTGTTGTCAGATGTATGATTTATCTTTTTTCTGTGGCTCATGTATGTTGGCTTTAAATTCTACTAGTGGTCTGTCCTTACTTTAAGCTTGTTTCGTCTTTTTACTTGTCAGGTCTCAAAAAGTTTGAGAGAGATTTCCTGTATAACTGGAAATCCAAATCAATTCTACCTCCGCCATTGCATGAGATTAGTCTTTGCAGATGTCTAAAATGGCAAGAACATAGTTTATAACAAGATATAACAAGATAGAAGCTAGTTAGTAGTAGTTTAAGACTAGGTTTATTTATTTATTTAACACAATATTAAAACCTCATTTAAGAAGTCATTTGAGCATAAACTATAAGTGGAAATTCTTGAGGCTTTTTTAATAGGTTTCTAGGCAGCTGATTTGAGTGGTCTGCTTTGAAGCATTCATTGCAAAGTCTGTCTCTAATTATATAAGATAAAATCTTAGGAAAGGGAGTTCTCATCCAGTAAGGAGTTGTGAATGTTAAGAAAGATGCTTTGGTTTTGAAAACAAAATAGAGAATTTTGCACCACATGAACAGCTACAACTTTAATGTCCTTCAGTAAAATTTGCAGCCACGTTTAATGTGAAGTATTGCTTCTCTGCTAATGATTTTTCTTTTTATTTTTTCTACGTTTCTCATTTTGCATCAGACCCTAATTAGTAATGGTTTAATGAAACAATGTTTTTTTCAAAATGAACAATAAAGCCAGTATACTCTAATTAAAATCTCACTTCCATTAATTGATTACTCTGGCAAGTACTAACCAGTGATTCTTGATTTTATTTTTCTTCTTTTGCACTGAGTAATATTTTTCTAATGCATTTCAATTAATCTCAATGCTTTAATTCTTATTAGTCTATTTCTAGTTTCTTCTGCAAGTTATAATGCAAAAAAAAAAAAAAGGCCTTTAGGTGAAATAAAATGAGAAAGTAAGATTGTTAACATCAAGTACAGAGGAGTTTCTTTTATTAAGCAAGAAAATTCATTGTTCGTGCAAAGGAGTTGGGAATAATTCTTTTTATTGGTGACAATTGAGTGGGCAGGGGGACCGTTCAGAAAACAAATCTTTATACTCTCATCTTGAAAGTTTATCTGACAAATTGAAAACTGGGTTTAGTAACCGTGAAGAGAAAAAAAATTACTACTATTGAGATGAGCAATGTTGTATGCAGCCCAGGATATGGTCTGACTTGTGAACTATGCAGTCAAGTATATGAGGAGAAGCAGTTTAGGAATTGAGTAGTTTAGTATGGGAAAATCATCCATATTTATCTAATTTGATATATAGCTATTAACTTCTGTCACTGTACTGAAGAGTATATGTGAGAAATTTGAGCATATGTATCATTGGAATAGATAATAAATACGCTGGCATCATATATTACACTTTGAGGTCACTTACCAAGTATATCCTTCTTTCTAGCTCTTCCATTCTCTTCTTCAGGACTTTTTTCCTACCTTCTCTCTTGCGTTACTATTTTATTGCTCCTCTCATCTTGCTCTATAGCACATATTCTGCAGCTTGTTCTTTAAAAATATTTGTTGCTCATCTTCTATTGACTTTACATGATTTGAGCTATCAAATACTTCAGCCACTCTAAAGAATATGCCTTCACCCATAAGCATTTTTCAAAAGTCTAGGGCTTACTACTGCAATTTCAGGAAACAATCTGTTGTTTTCTTCCATTGCTAGAAAACAGAGGCCACAAGTGTTCCCCTTTATCACTTGTTTCTGGCCGCTACTCTAAATTCAAACTGGCATAAAGTCTGTCCTGAACCACCATGGAATCCAGTACCCAAATTTCCAGCAGTGAGAGGAGAGTCTGGTATCTGTTATTGCCTTTCATCTCTGGACTCACGCTGCTTTGTTTTTCTGGATTGTTATAATGGAGTGTTTCTCTTAGATTGTTGCATTTTTTAAGGAATTGCTTATGTTGCCTCTATTCATTTGTTCTCCAAATGACAACAGATGAAAGTCACATCAGTCTCACTTCCCTTCACTGACATATAGGGAAACTGTCATTTCATAAGAAGTTGCATATTTCTGAGCTTGATCTTGTGAAATGCTGAGTGCCTTTCCTCCCATACGAGTGGAGAAGACTTGGCAAGTAAAGGGCTTCAGAAAGATTATTGAAAGATAATGGCAATACCTAGATATGATTGAACTAAGCATTCTCATTTGGATGTTGTGACTTGACTCAGTTCTCCCACACTCAGCGCCTTCTTGCTCTCTCCCTTCCCCAAGAGGCACTCACACTTCTGTTTTAAAAGTAATTTCTCTTTTCAGAGTGGAGAAATAGAATTCTTCTCCTGTAAAAAGCCAAGTCAATACCAGAAGAGAAAATATTCTCAGGCTTCCGGGACAGTAATAAATTACAGCTATATAAAAATAACTGTTTTCTAACAAACTTTCATGTTAGTGAATTATGCTTTACAGTTTATTTTTCCTATGACATAGTTCAATTATTGGCATAATTCTGACACATATTTATTTTGCTAGACCAAAACTCAGAATTCTTTTCTTACAGGGTTACGCAGTATACTCCTTACCAACCTGAGGTCTCCCAGGGCAGGCTGGAGAGCCTGCTAAATTACCAGACTATGGTGTGTGATATCACAGGAATGGATGTGGCTAATGCATCTTTGCTGGATGAGGGGACAGCTGCTGCAGAAGCCATGCAATTATGTCACAGGTACTATGTTTAAATGTATGGTTAAGTGACAGTAGGAAGGAATTTTGGAGTTTGAAAGGTGTCTCACCTGTGTAGGCATGGATGGGTGAGCGGGTTGAAGCTGAGTGTGGCCTTTTCACTGTGACCAGGTCACTAAACAACTATAGCCCATCTTATTAAGCACCTGGAGAAGTTCTCAGTATTGATGTGAATGTTGAACTCAGACATCTAAGGCCTTAAGAAACCTAAGGACCTAGAGACCAAGGGGAAAGTTTAGAGCAAGGAAGACTTACTCTTGGTGGAGGAGGGTCAGGTTAGAGAATACTTAAGCAAACTGGACATACAGAGGTCTGTGGGCCCTGATGTTATGACCCATGAGTGCTGAGGGAGCTGCCTGATGTCACTGCGAGGCCACTCTATCTCTGAACAATCATGGTGACTGGGAGAGGTGCCTCAGTGCTGGAGGAAAGCAAATGTCGCTCCTATCTTCAGGAAGGGCAAGAATGAGAATGCAGGGAACTACGGGCTCGTCAGCCTCACCTTGATTCCTCAGAAGATGATGGAACAACTGCTAGTCCTGGAAACCATTTCCAGGCATGTGAAGGACAAGAAGGTGATCAGGAGTCACCAGCATGGATTCACACAGGGGAAGTCGTGCTTGACCAACCTGATAACTATCTACAAATAAATGGCTGGCTCGGTGGATGAGGGGAGAGCAGTGGATATTATCTGCCTCGACGGTCTCCCTTAAGTCCTCACAGAGAAGCTGATGAAGTATGGGCTGGATGAGACAAGAGAGGTCGATTGAAAACTGTCTGAATGACTGGGCCCAGAGGCTGGTGACCAGTGACATGAAGTCTAGTTAGAGACCAGTTACTAATGGACCCACTGGGTCCAATTAATGATCTGGATGATGGCACAGAGTGTATCCTCAGCAAGCTTGCTGATTACTCAAAACTGGGAGGATCAGCTGATACACCAGAGGGTTGTGCTGCTATCCAGAGGGACCCTGACAGACTGGAGAAATAGGCTGACAGGAATCTTATGATGCTGAACAAGGGGTTTGTGTGAAGTCCTGCACCTGGGGAGGAACAACCCCCAGCACATGAGGTACATGCTGGGGGCTGGCAGGCTAGAAAGCAGCTTTGCAGAAAAGGCCTTTGGAGGTCCTGGGGGTCACAAAATCAAACATGAGCCAGCAATGTGCTCTGGTGGCAAAGGCGGCAAATGGTATCCTGGGCTGCATTAGGAAGCGCGTTGAC